GCCGTATACAAACAGACAGACGTGACATACACAAGATGACAAATCTGACACATGTACACCAACGAAAGATTTGGTAAAAGTTGTCAACTTTTTGCATGAAGTTTCTGACGTCAGGCTGTGGTTGACAGTGTTATGTGTTTGTTTTTCCAGGGGTAGTTTTTTCTGATTCAATCGTTTGTCATAGTGATGGACAGTAATTAAAGGGAGGCTTACAGAGTGGTGACTCCAGTGTGAAGTTTGCTCAACTGTTGTTGGGCAATTGGTGGTTAAGGCTTCATTTGAATGAATGCAGCTGCCCGGAATAAAAGTGGTGACACATTTGTTTACCTTCATTGATGTTGTAAATGGCAGACATCTTTGTTTATGTCGGTTTTCTGTGTGTCATGCATGTTTTCCTAATGGCTTGGAGCATGACTACAATGAGGCCTGCCAAAAGGATATAATAGGGGCTATAAAGCAGAATCATAGACTACACACACACACACACACACACACACACACACACACACACAGTAATACACACATTAATACACAAACCTTTAACTATTTTGAATCTGCTATCCCCATCATGCTTTGCATAGTATTTGTAATCATTGCTAGCTAGAAAATGATTTTGCATTTAAAAAAAACATTTAGCACACAGTTTAATAAGAGTCACATGTTAATATAATATATAGAGTCCGGCAAAAATAGCTAACCAGTTTCTGTCACTTTGTCACTCACCTTAAGCTGTGCTCCTAACACTCTGTTTACAAGGGAGTCTTTACCAATAAGAAATAATTAATGGTATATACATATGTTCATCAATAAATAAGGGAAACATTTAGAACAATGTGTCTTCAGGTCATTCTCTCAGATGGTGAGATTTTCTGTTTTAAAGATGCTCACTACCTTTGCTCCCCCCATCTTTAGGATCAGTCATTGTGGGCGTGTCTTGCTGGAATGGCGATGGCCCACAGGGAGTTGACCACAGCGGAGATGGCTTATGCTGCCATCGGAGAGGTAAGCAAATTAGTTAATGGCTATATCAGTCGAACACACCTTGTTTTTAACCAGGTTCTCAAACATAAGTACCCCCAACCTCTCTTCTTTCAGCTACCTAGGGTGCAGTACATCAACTTTATAAAGGAGCAGCCATCTAAGGAGTCATCTTTGGCCCACATGCTGATGTTCAGTGGTCAGGTCCAGGAGGCGGAGGCCACATTGTTACAAGCTGGTCTCATCTATCAGGCCATACGAGTCAACATCGACCTTTTCAACTGGGAGAGGTACAGCTCAGGGATTTACGGAATCTGTGTGTGAAGGTATAGGTGTTAGGAGAGGGACATTTTAAGTCTTTAGGAGGATGCTTTTTCTTAGCCTCTTAAGGCTGTCTCTTCTATAGAAGGTTTAAGTGAGAGTTTGTCCTTGCAGGATGGTTGAATGTGTATCTTCATCTTCTTTTCATCTTGTGTCCAGGGCACTGGAGCTGGCAGTGAAACACAAGACCCATGTTGACACGGTGCTGGCCTATAGAGGAAAGTTCCTACAGAAATTTGGCAGGAAGGAGACCAACAAGAGATTCCTGCAGTACTCTGAAGGGGTAAGTGAGGACAGCACTGCACTGCATTAATTCATTAATCACACTGGAAGCCACTGTTACAGCTGTTCAAGTGTTATCAGCTTTTTATACTTATACACTCTTTTAACTCTGAGGGGATACAAAATTCAATATCACTTCAGCCTTTTTCACTGCTGTCATATTGGAAAAACCGGCGGATGTTAGCCAGAAATGACGAAAAATCTAGAAGTTGTTGCTGTTAGCTGCCGAACTCTGTTTATTTTGGTGGAGCATTATTAAATGATCAGGAGGAAAAAAAAACTATACACACACCACACTTTTCAGGCGTCCAGTGTGAACCCGTCTTATTATATAATGGAATTAAATAGCATCCTTTCGTTTTGATCCTATACTGATGAAAGCAAAATGCAGTACTGTGTCTTACTTCTCCTATTCTTGTATTTCTGCCAGGTTGAGGTGGACTGGGAGAAAGTCCAGGCGAAGATAGAGATGGAGTTGTCTAATGAGAGAGAGAAGGCTGCTAACACCTCTGTGAGGAGCAGCGTGGCCTCACGACGTTAATGTTCAGTGGACCTTTCTTCTAAAATTCTACTTGCATAACATGGCTACGATAAGTTACAAGTGCATTAACTTCAAGATCATTTGGAGATGTGAAGATTAGAATTGCTCTGATGAATATATTGTTGACTTTGGCTCTTACACTAAAATCTTGTGGGTTGTGCTGTGTAATGTAAAACATTGGCATTCTGTTACCGCCGGGTGGATGATTTTGACTTCTGATAAGAGTATATACACTTCGCACATACTACAACATAATGGCCTTTCCGTCATATCAGCTTCAGAGTGATTTCAGTGTGTCAAGTTCAAATCTGAATGTTATCTTTTACAGTTGTCGAGAATTACTTGATGTGCTCAGTCATGCAAAGATGTATTGCTTTGTTTTTTCAGTGATGTATGATTGATTGATTGTGTGTTTTTATATGGATAGATATTTTTACAATTTATATATTCAACATTTTGCCTCATGTAAACACTAAAAAGAGTTCAGTAAATAAAACTGATAGAAATAATGTATACCTTTCGCCGAATGACCCTCTTTTACCTTGCTCTTTCTCTATTTTTCATACCCTTTTAATGTCTTGATGCTTCACTGGATTTTTATACAGAGATCATAGAGTATCTTTGAAGTGTTTTTTTCAGCTTCACCCACAAGGTATTTCTGGGTACATGTGTGTTTTAGAGTTCAATACATCTACAGTATGTTCTTCTCTTTGAGTTATTCTTGTATTTCCTTTTCTGCTGAGGTGTGAAACCAAGTGATGGCATGAAGCTCAGCCCCCTGGTTGGCAGGAGGCCAGTACATCAGCGGACCATTATAGCCTATCCATCTCCTCTAGCCGCTCAGGAGGGACGAATGAGGGAGAAGATCTGGTCTAAGGGCTTTCCGAAAAAAAACTGCTCAACCATATCCCCCTGATGCGCGCCGACGTGGTAGAAATTGATCGTCCTATTGCCTGGAAATGTGAGTGGCCACTCGTAAAACATCAGAGAAAACGGTAGATGTAGGAAAATCTATCAATGGGTTATTCTCTCTTGCTGTTTCTTTTTTTATCAGCACTGTGTACTTTTGGCTGCTTATCGCCCAAGTTTCTCTCTGACTCACTTTCTTCTTCATATTTTACTCCCTCCATCCGCTTTCTTTGGAAGCCTACTCACTGTGTGATAAACCTACTCCTCCGGGCCAAACAACATTAATTTATGAAAGGACTTATCAGCGGGGAGTCAGATTTCACTTGCATTACCATGTGAGAGGCCACACACACTGAAAAATAGAAATGAACAATGTGTTGTATTTATACATCCTCGCATGACTACGATTTCTTTTGCATTTTGGTAATGAATTCATTAAAATAGAATACAATTCTAAATGAACATTCTTAGCCTCAACTGTAAATTAGGAATAAAATGGTCCAATTAGATTTCCAATCTTTACACTTTTGACTCTGTGCTATTTACTGAACAGTAAATAGACTTTTACCGCATTTCATATCTTTGAAACTACACAGAACAAAAACATAAACAGATATTATACTTGTATTAAACCACTGAGCTGTATATCCATGTACAATGACTTGCAAGTTCTCCGAAATTAGATTGATGGCCAAACAATGAAGCTCACCTACAAAATACACTTAGTGGATAATATTCATGAGGAGGTTAATGCTCATTGATTTGACCTTCATAGTTGATCCGTTCTTTGGTCCAGTGACTCCCTGACGCAGTTTTCAATGTTGCTTGTGCCCTGTGTATTTTTCCCTGTGTCTCTGTCAGTGTCGCTCAGTATGTTTGTGCGTGCAGTATATGTTTTGATTTAAGGAATAGAAAACCAAATATATCACTGTCCTCTCCTCTGCCAGTTGATGTCCCAGCTGTACAATATCTGATTCAAGTCTCATGCTGGGAACTGTAGGAGACATGCCCTCTGCTCCTCAACCCACTTTTACAGTTTAGTTCATAATGAACTGCGATAGCTCCAAGGACATCCTGAAGTGCAAAATTCACACCTTTTATGGTTTGAGTATAGGACTTGCATATGGCTTTATGCATCTTAAAGTCACATACTCCACCTGATCTACCCATTTGTGGGCTTTAGGCATGGATTTATGCTTTTAAGTGCAAACTGCAGCCACCCACAAATATCCCTCGGGAAAGGAAATCCATCAGTGTTCACTATTGGCTTTGCCATCATGGTCTGGCAGTGTCAGATTACTCACGCCACCACAATCCCACTCAGACTTCTAGTGTCGGGAGCATTAGAGAAGCTCAAGGTCTCTAATTGTGAAGACCACGGATAAAAATGCTTTAGCAGCAACTTTCTCTGTATTTGAATAGCTAAACTTGGCCAAAATTGAAGTTTATTGGTGAAGAAGAGTGCTTTGATAAAATGTCAGTTATTACACTCTCCAAACAATATGCATTTGTCTTTCTGATGGCAGATTTCATAAGGTGACTGGTTGCTTTAAACGCAGTGATTCACAGTTAAAGGAACATTAAAGAAAGTATAGGTTAATAAAGCTTCACAGTTTATATACTAACAGCACTTAGGTAAATAAGTTGGTGTATATATTTGCCCTCGGTCGAAACATTTTGTTTTATGTAACTGAAGTTAGAATAAATGAATTTGCAACTATTTTGATTATTGTTTAAGGATGAGAATATAATGTTTACGTCATTTGTTTTACAATGTCTGATTGTAATTGACTTGACTTCTACTTGTTTGGCCTGGGACATGAAATGTACTAATGTTTTTCAAGTCTGTGTTTGAGAGAACGAAAGACAAATGTGACCATTCACACATGTCAAATTAAAGTGACAATGACAAAGGAGCTTTTTCAATATACAATAATGAGGCATTTTAATGGAAAGTTAAATACACCCTTCAAACTTTAATCTTGGTAAACAGGCCATTTAGCTTGATGTAATGAGGTGTGTGTGGTGTCAGTTTGGTTTTCAATTTTCCAGAACCCCAAAAATATATTTTCTTATTAGACAGTGATGCATTACATTTCATTTTCATTTCATGATGCAAACCAGCAGGTAACAGTAACACATTTAAGTTAACATACAAATTGATATGGTATTCTCAGTCCACTTTACCAGAACAAAGAATGGACTGCCTCCTGTCTCTGATAGATCTCATCTGTCTTTTCCTTCGTTTGGTCTGAGCTGTAGGGTGTTAGTTCTGCTTGGGGCAGCAGTTGTGACCTTGTTTGACTTGCTAACATTAAAACACAACTTTGGAAGCTTACACCATATCACATGCCGGCTGTAATATTTGCCATAGCTTTACTCATTTAGAACCTAGGTGATACTAATATGTAGCAGCGGACACATGGTTCACAGCATCAGAGCATTTAAAAAAAATTGCACTTTTCTGCTGTGACTAGATCATGATCTTGCTGTAGGCGACATGGCTCAGGTCACTGATAAAATACTCATCTATCATTTCCCTCTGAACTGTGTGAATGTGCATGTGTGTGAGGCAGTTTGAGGAAAATATTGCTTTCATGCTGATGAAATATTTTAAATTAAATGGCTCTAAAGCTTGCTGATAAGGAAAACTGCAGAAAGTATTAAAATTGATATTCATCCCCTCACTCCCTACTTCAGCACACATTCCAGGGTATGGTGGGAAATACAAATCTAAATATTATTCCTTTTGGTTGCACATTCAATAAAGAATATATAAAAGAAAACCAGGTCTTTCGGGTTCAGCAGAACATTTAACATTAAGAGTAAGAAAGGCCGAGAATTTGACATAAGAATAAAACCGTCTCACAGTGCTGCTTAAAATGAAGGTGTTGAAGTCAATCTTAATGCGATTGTACCGGAGCCAAATTAGCTGTCCCTGCCACAGAGACCTTCAATTTCAGCCGCCTTCGCTTTCTTCATAATCCCCTTTACTTAACCCAGGCGGTCATTTGCATACAAAAGGCGATAAATCCGCCATAATCTTACAAAACACGTACATTTTCTCAGCCTTCTTCTTTATTCTTAACATTCAGGATTATAATTGCACTTGAGTTTATATCTCTGCAAGATAATTACCCTGATAATATTAAAATAAGAGAGCTATATTGTCTGTAGAGCTTTGCCCGGGCTCAGACAGAGTTCCGGGATGTCCTCGGGCTGTGTTGCGGTGCAGCCTCCTCGAGGACTTCCCGCCTCTGCTCCGCGGCTCTCGGTCCCGCCGCTCTCTCTCTGCCCTGCCCGATACTCTCGTTTTCAGACAGCAAGTTATCGTCGGACCGGTCTCTGTGCATCTCCTGCATGCTTTCCTCATACGTGGGCAAATATTTGACCTCGTCGTATGCTGGCAGATTCGGAGAGGCAAAGTCCCCGAGGCTGTACTCGGGGTACCGGTCCAGCAGGGAGTCCTGGGACGCCGATGCGTGCCCGTGAAAGAGGGAGGGCTCCTCGCTGCGGTCATTGTGCGGAGGCCGGCGGGGCCGCGGGCAGATGATCCTCTGAATGAAGTAGCCCATGGCGAATAGCAGCAACAGGATGAGGATGCCGGACAGCTTCCGCGTGAACCAACCTACGTTGTCGAAGAATATGTGGATAGGGAGCTTGCAGCAGCGCACCGCGGAGTTGGCACTGCCGTTCCCGTTGGCGATGGGCGGACAGCACTGGTGGCCATCGCCGCACTGGACCTCCCCGCAGGTGCGGAGAGCATGACAAGCGGAGACCAGACACGCCGACAAAAGGGTGCCAGTGGTCCTGCACGTTATCCTGCCGCCGCCTGGCAAACAAGACGAGATCATTTTGGGGTCTCCCGGGATGGAAAGAAGCCTAATGGACGTGTTGCGTCTCCCGTGCGTGCTAATATTATAAGTCCGATCAGGTGTTACAGGTCTGCCTTTCCTTCCAGCTGTACACTTTTAATGTATGCTACTCTCATCACAGCCAGTGCAACGCGGGACAGCAGGTGCCCCCCCCTCCACTGAGGAAGACCTGTCTGCTGTTATATGGTCGATATGAGTGGAGGAGCAGCATCAGTGTCTGTTGGAGCACTGATGGGAATCATGAATACTCTTACATCATTACGTATGGTCATTAACAGTCTAATGAAACCCACATTGCTGCTCCACAGCATCTGAGATTGTCACTTTCAATCAATCAATCAATCAATCAAGGTTTATTTATGCAGAATATCACACATTTTACATTTGTCTCAGTGGACCAGTATGTACAGAATGATTACAAATATGACATCCTCTGTCCTTGGACCCTCAAATTGGACAGGAAAAAAACCTTTAAAGAAAACCCCAAAGTTAATGGGGGAGAATTCCCTCTCCCAGGACAGACAGACGTGCAATAGATGTCGTGTTAAATTAAACCTCTTTCAACTTTACCTGAACTTTCCTGCCCAAGAGGACACGAGTGCGGGTGGTTTTATTGTGACCCCAAATAAAACAACCCCCACTCGGAACAATGCATGTTTTATGCAGAGCCATAATATCAATCTTGTTTGATTAAGGAATTATGTACATTTAGGGGGAATGACCATAGGAGAGTGAGAAATCTACAGTATAATAGTCATCATTCCGCAGTGGTTGAGGGAGGATTGAGATCCTTAAATATAAATACTGTATATGTAAACATGAACAACTATCTACCAAATTCAAAAACTACAGCACTATAGCAAACATTTGGGATTTCATTATGCAGGTCTGAAAATGCTGCATAAACAATGAATTGGAAATATGGTAAAGATAACACAAGAGCAGCCAGTTAATTGTTCTGAGGATACAGGGATAGTTTATTTGATAGAACTTTGAACACTATAATAGATTAAAGCTCATTCTGGAATTGAAATTAAAACAAACATTCTGTGATCAAAATCAGTCCTATACAGCATTTATTGTCTATCTATGGAGCCGCTTCAGACCTAATACTTGATGACATCACAATTTAAGACTTCCTTCTCTGCTTTCTGGCTTTGAAAGAGAGAAGATCATGTTCACGAATATTGATTCAACTTTAATAGGCCATGGAAATGACATTATGGCCATTATTAATTTAAGAGGTTTCCCCTTTTAAAGCATCAAAAGTAAAAATAGGCCCTACTCATCTTGCAAGAAAGTAGTTCCCATGAGGGAATTAGCTTAAATCATAAGACTATTATGTCTGATGCTTTAACGTGTAAGTATCCTTTTGCCATTGTATTTGGATTAGGTGAAGCTAATTTTAACTGTTTTATATAATGGTGATCTTTAACAGTGCCTATTGTGTTTTAAGATCCTCGTATAAAACCTTAATTTGTCAGGTAGCCTTTTTAATAACAAAACTGTCAAATAATTGTAGTGGAGTCAAAAGTATGGTAGTTCCATCTCAAATCAAAGTAGGCTATGTAAAAGTACAGTACTTGTGTAAATGTACTCAAACTTCATGCAAGTCCCAGATCCGACTTCATGATCCATCGGCCCAAAACGCTGAACAATGCTTAAAGCTTGCAGCTTACTGAATCCTGTACGAACATGATGACTTTCACCAATATGAGGCGCCGACAGATCTACCCCTCTCATAAAAAATGAATAGATCCTGCAGTGTGGGTTGTAATGGCCCCCATTAGAAGAGTGTCTGGAATCACATCGGTCCACCATCACCCTAGAGGACCATGTGTCTGCAGCATTTGAGAACATAACCATAAAACGAAATCTCCCGTTGAAACGACAGTCTCCTCGCCCAACGTGTTAATTTACACTAAAGATGTCTCTGGATAACATCCAACTATGATAGATGGCTTAGTAAGCTGCTCTACAATAACAGCATATTAACTGATTTATTAAACCAGTCTGCATACTTTGTTGTACTGCAAAATAAATCTGTGAATACTTTTCTACAGGGGTTACATGGAGGGACCAAGGTCACTTTCAAAGCTGTGTGTCCTTATGGGATCTGAAAGGATCCGAAGGAAGGATTTATGATAATGGGGTGAACAAAGAACACTTGTTACTTTATTTCCAATAAATCACTGATCTTTGTAATGAGATTTGGCCTCGACAGTCTTTTATCCAGTCCTCATGGTGTAAATCATGCATGGAATCTTTTTAAATTACGGGAACATTTCACCCCCTCCTGTCTTCATGTTACTCTTTGTCACTAATAGCCGGTCTGTTTTTTTTTTTTTTCCTAAACAAGGCCTAATGCACAAAACACAAAATCTAATTACTGGAGCATTATGACGTGAAATTCAGTAGAAGGGTAACATCATGCAACCTAATTTATGCAGCATCGTATTTCTTTCAGTAATCTGCCTCGATTAGGGAAACATGATCTCAAGGCACTCTTCTAACCGAATAAACAAATACACAATCAATAGCCTGTGGACATTGGCTCTGAGAGAAACCCTCGTCAGTTCCTTTGTTATGAGGGCTTTCCCAGCACTTTTGCTATTCTACTGCTTGTATAGGCTCTTATTGACATGCATAGGGAACAACTGCTATTTTTAAACACAGCTTTGACTGCTGTGACTGGAAAGTGGAAAAATGCTCCAGAGTAGAGAACAACGTGAGGCTATTAACCATTTCAATCACATCCAAATCCTACCCATGCAAGCAATTATAAAATGAGAAGTAAAATTAAAATGAACTGTGGCAAATGTTAAGTATAACTGAAAGTATATTACATAGTCATATTTCCATTTTAAACAATAAATACAAATATGCCAATTTCCTTTTTCTCTCTTATTGGTCTTATTGCTCTGAATATTTATTCTCCTCAAGTCTGTTTCCTGCTCACCACCACACCCTGCCCCTTTCCCCACTTTTACTGAAATCCTCCACAAAATTATCTACCTCCTCCACTTCTTTGTCTCAATCCATCTAGGATCAACTTTACGTCAAACACATCAAACTAATTGGAGACCAACTACATCCCAGAACGCATATTTACAGAAAGTTGAGTGTCATTGCTCTAACAGAAGTCATGTGACACCAGACACGTACTGTAGTTGCCGGTTGACGAAGATGTAGACAAGAATTGAGATCACAATTCACCAATGTAATCAAATGTATTGTGCTTTCTTGGCACACAGAACAAATCTGTTACCACCAGCAACAAAAGAAGGGAACTGCTTCTGTTGCGTTTACTGACAAAATAATTTGAAGTTGCAGCCTCCTGTATGGCTAACAATTAAGGCGATAACACAGCGACTAGACTATATTACTGTTATAAATGTGCTGTGCTCTATGCTTCCATTAATCTGCTACAAAGGTCTCTTGTGTTGTGCTTAATAATTCAGTTTTATGGGGTCCATTAGGCCTGAGCGATGATGAATGGCAGCGTTCATTTTCATGTGTCATGAGACGTTGATGTACGGACCGCCCAACTGTCAATGTCACGGTTATCGCGTTTGCATTAATTATGAAACAAAGAAAGCCTTGTCCAGCCTCAGGCTTTGTTAATAGACCCACTGATGGTTCTGGGTTTTACACTTTGTTGGCACGAGAGCAGAAGTCACGACCTCAGGGTTACTGCCCTGAGACCAACTATAGCCTGTTTAGCTTCTTTACGTACTGTATTGAAGGGCACTAACTGAACTTAACATGACGTGCCATAGTCATACAGCATTGTCCACACACACACATCTGAAATATATTGTGTTAGAACTTGTTACAACAGTTTTGTCTGTATTTACAGACTATGGGGGATATATGTTTTGGCTTGTTCATTTTGTTTGTGTGTCAGTTCTTTGCCCAGAAACGCAGGACACTAGTGGGTGTCATCAGTGTCTGTGTATTCCCATCAGTTTGAACTCTAATAAAAAGCAGGGCCTGCAGTCCATGTAGATTGTGTGAACCCAGAAAGTCCCACACCACAGCTATTTCACACCCACGTACTTCCTCTAATCTTATCGCTCTGCTGGCTCAGAGGTCTTTAAGTTTACGGGTTGTGTGTGTGTGTGTGTGGTGAGAGTATGGGGCAACTATATTTGTGTTTCACGTTGTTGTGTGGGTGTCGTTGTAATGTTTTAAGCATTTTTTTTCACTAGATGATGTGGTTGAGTGGGACATGGCAAATGAAGAGAGAAGGGATGATATGTGTTACAGGTTACGGGACAGATTTCATTTAAAAACTTTTCCTCAAGACTCAAAAGAGCAAGCGTGTGCATGTGGTCAATTCTGGCAAATACGTTTTAAAGAAAACGTTTGACTCTTACCTTTATGTGGCTTGTTCTCAGAGCGTGTCGTTTTTGGCTTGAAGAAAAATGAGAATCTGACTTCCTTTGAGGAGAAACTTCCTCTAAGAGGCCAAAAATCTTTAACAGAAGAGAGAGAGAGAGAGAGAGAGAGAGAGAGAGAGAGAGAGAGAGAGAGAGAGAGAGACGATCCAGAGAGAAGAATAGAGAGAGAGGAGGATGACATCTCGCAGAGAGAGAGAGCGAGATGCGAGAGCTCAGATAGGCTCTACTCTCCAAGAATCTCTCCTTATACTAATCTAGATATGACTCTACTCTTGATCTAGGCATCTCTCTACTCTCGTGGCTCTCTACTGCCTACGATACGTCCGAAAACTACATCTCTCTTCTCTGGGGCTACTTCTCTCCTCTCTCTCTTGAGGTGGGGGTGCTTTAGTGGAGTGGATCCGCCCACCTTTGTGGAGGGGATTCTCTAGGGAACCACTCTCGGTGCTCTTACATAAATCTAGAGTTGGAGGTTTATGCTGAGCTGGGCTTTTTGATTTTACAGTGAAAACTGTATAAGGCTGCCATATAGGCCCTAATACACAGCTATCATTCAGAATGGTTTGATGGGTAATAGCACTAAGTGATTTGACTCAGCATTGTTGCTTTCTGTTTGAATAGAAAATTCATGTTGCCAGGAAATATTTGTATAGACATACAGTATATCAACTACTGACTTTTACCTCCTATCATTAACCAGCCTTAGATCTTAAACCTGGCTAATGTAACTCTCTTTGTAAAAATGATGTATTAACTTTAGAGGGACAATTCTTTACTCTTTATAACAAGGCGGGCTGTCTTTCGTTCAACTTTTTAAATATAATATAGCTGACAGCT